TCAGGATGCAGGTGCCCCTGAGAACCATCCTTTACACATGAAATATTGTAGCCACAACTCCCAGCAACTGGGGGGATTCCACTGAGGAGGCTTCTGGGAGAGCTGTGTTCTTCACACAGGGCCTGTCAACAGTGGCTAAGGCTTTGGGCCCTTCCTGACACTACAACTGACTTTGTTCCTTGGTGTTGCCTGTTATTAGGTCTACGTGCCCAGTGATGTCACGGCCCTTGGCTTCAGATCTTATGCTCGAGTTGCCCTCTGAGCACCTTGCTTTGGTATACAGACCAAGTTGCCAGAGTGCCAAGAAATACCTAATCTTTTCTTTGCCACAGAGAGTGCCATGGCCCTGAGTGTGTGTTTGCCATTTGTGGCTCCAATTTTACAAACACATGGAATGTTTTACCTTCAATAAGCTGAGGCCTATAAAATGCTTTTAACATCCAACTGCTCCACGGCAGAGAAAACATACCTATTAGTTTGGGGGTATTTTTAGCTTGGAAGGTCTTTGGGTAGCATTAGGACAATTCATACAGGAATTTACTGATTCACACTTTGCTCAATAGAGAACATCAGGCAGACATCTGGTATATAGATGAGGTCCAATCAATATTTTTTACACTGAATGGAGTTTCATTTCTAACTGGGGAGAGACCAGGACTGCAGAAGGGTGGGCACTGGGTGCAGGCCTGTCCTCTGTGGCATGCAGGTCTCCCCTGAATGTAGGAAGGCCTGTCTTAGGAGAGAGATCCAGGCTTGCCTCCGCTGAGGTTGCAAGTGGCTACTAGGGGTAGGGGAAGGACAGGAGCAGCATGTCCTCTCTTGAGACTGGGGGCAAAAGGCAAATTCTTTGAGTTCTCAAAGGTTTATTTTCCTGTTTGTTCAACGGAGACAGTAATAACTGACCTGCCTATTTCAGAGCTGTTCTCAGTATAAAAGAAAATCAATACAAATGGAACTCTAAGAAAAAATAAGATAGTCCATAAACAGAAGATATTAGGAAGCATTTCCCTTCACACTAACAGGTTAGATGAAACATGGAGTTTCTTCCCACATTTCACTGGGAATAGGAGGTCTGCTTGCTGGGGTGGAGTTGGGGGAGGGGCGTCCCTTTCTGAGGCAGGTGTGCAGTTTTCTTTCTGGGGCTCTCAGAAGTTGTCTTGCATTGAGAGGGAAACAAGGAAAGAGCTTTGTTAATTTAGACAGTTAATTTAGCCTTCCATTTGGCCCCAAATGCTGGCAGCCCTCTTGTAAAGGGAAAAAAACTAAAAGCCCAGATGATCTCATAGGTCTTTCCTACCTCTGAAACAGATGGTATGATTCACATACATTTGACACAAGTGTTACCGGGTTGTGATGATTCCCCTTATTATGCTCAGTTGAAGAAGGGATTAAGTAGCAATAATAGGCTGAGAATGTAAAGCATGACCTCTGATTAGAACAGAGGGTGGGAGTGGGATGTTTCATGGTTAAAGCAGTGAACTATGACTCAAAGCCCTAAGTTTCTAGTCACAGATCTGCAACCTTGTATATGACATTGAGAGGCTTGCTAGAGGCCTTCGAAAGTGCTTTTAATTTATATGCACTTGCCACTGACTTTAAAAGCAATATAAGTCCTTCTGAGAACAATGTGGGTGATAATTAATGGTTAATAACACTAAAGAGATAGCCATCAGTAAGACGTCTGAATGCCCATGATGCTTTAAGCAATATTCAGACTCTTGTATAGAAATGCTAGCAAAACACAAATCCCACAGTTTGCAGAAAATCTATTCTTCTTTCCTTCGAGTCAACCATCTACCCTCTCCAGCACCGTCCAACTGACTTTTTGCAACAATGGAAATGCTCTCTACTCTGTCCAGCAGTAGGTGTCATTTGTGACTACTGCACACTTCACCTACGGCTGGTGGGGCTTAGAAACGAAATCTTACATTTGATTTAACTAATCGAAATGTATATGAAAATAGCCACATGTGGCTAGTGCATTGGACAGCACAGCTGTAGCCAATTCAAACCTCCTGAAAGCAAGAAGGTAAGGTTGAGAGGCAGTAGAAACTAAATGAACAATTATTCAGTCTTCCTCTTTAAAGGTTTCTTTTCTTCTTTTATTCAAGTTGCTGGGAAGAGTAGCTAAAACTACGGTCTGAGGCAAAAGAGTGCCAATAATAATTGGATAATAATATCCCACCCACCCCCAGCCAACATTTCGGAACTGTTTCTTTTTCATGAGTTTAAAATGAGAAGACATCTAAACTCATTAACGAAAAGCTAGCTAGACTGCTTTAATCTAAAGCAACACTTTTCTATACAAACCCAAGAAAATAACCACTAAGGTAAGGTTCAGGAGAAACATTAGCCTTAATCTGTACTATTGTCATATCACCTTTTAAAGAGACCTACAGAAGCACTGATACGTATTTTGCTATGGGTTTTCCTCTGTCATAAAGTCTGCTGCTAATTCCTGGCTCCATTTCCGCTGTAGCCCGATGTCCATGCCCCAGCCCCATAGATGGGTCAACCGATAACCAAAGAGCAAGACCAGAGACAGACAAAAGGTTCTGGCTTCTGTTCCTTCCAGACACAGAGGATCTTTTCTTTTTTGCCTCTTTCATGTACTGTGATGAAAAACTCTGCATTACATAATACACAAAACCCCGATATCTTACCTTACTGACTTCCCACAGCATTCCCATGGCCCATGAGGGACTTGAACAAATGGTGGTTATTCTCCTTAACCTGTGTCCTCACTCTTGAAGTGCACTTACTCAAACTCTACATGGTATAAAAAACTTACTCTTCCTGCATGCCTTTGGTATTTATTACCCTGCCCGTTGTATATATTTTTTCAGGAATAGTATGTTTCTCAGGTGTCGTAAGCTCTTAGGGAAGGGGCAGTTTGGTCGCTGTAATTCTTCTTGAGCACTGACTGACTAGTACAGCATCAGATACAATTAAGGGCTTAATCAATGCTACTTGATAATGGATAAAAGACTACTAGACTCAATGGGACTTTTAAGGCTTTGGGATTTCAAGCCACTTTTTTTCAGTTTAACATATTCCAGAATACAATATACTGTCAATGCCTTTGGAGGATCTATAGAGGGGATCGAATTAGGCTTGGTTATTTGCGGGGAAGGACTTCAGAATCAGTCATGTATTTTTCAGGTTGATATCATGATTCTTTGAAGATTAGAAAAACAGTCTTCAACTCAGCTGACAGTTGCTCAGCTGGCATGGAAGGAAGGAAGGTAGTATGCTAAATACATTTCTGGTCCCCCTTTTTTCAATAGTGAAACAGAAAGAATAAAAATTCTTATTCAGGAAATAGTCACAGCGGCCTGGTGAAGCCCAGTAAATCTGACTGCTGAGATGGTGTAAGGAACTTCGCAGCTTATGCAAGTTGGGAGGGAAGCTCAAGCCCGGTACATGATGAACAACAGCTGGACATGGGCCGTGCCTTCCCGGTCTCTGGTCTCCACGCCCTCTAGTTTATCTCCTGGCAGCACATTTTCTAAGGAGATTATTTTCAAATAGAAAGCCATTCATTCTGCTCCCAAATCCATCTTAACTGAAAGATTAAAGTGTAAAATAGGTGTAAAATAAGATTGAACTATAAAATAAAGATCTAATGAAAATTTAATGCTAAACTAGTAATACTAAAAATGCTTCCTCTTTTCGAAGTTAAAGTCAACAACAAACGGCACTTTAAAGCAGTGACTCGAGAAGTGGGGTTCTTGGGTCAGATGCATCAGCAGCGCCTGGGAACTTGTTAGAGATGCAAATTCTTGGGCCCCACCCCAGACCTACTACAGTAGAAACTCTGGGGGTGGAGCCCAGCAATGCGTGTTAAAAAAAAAAAAAAAAAAAAAAGCCTCCATGTGTGATTCTGACACTCTAATGTTTGAAAATCATTACTTTAAACCAATCTTGAAATAGTTTAAACTGTTCAATGTTGTACTAAATTGTACTAAATGAATATCCCTAACATGTCAAGTGTTTCTCAATTCTATATGTAAGGTCTGAGCAAACACTTAACACACAGTCACTAGTCCATCATTCTGAAATCTCACGGATTTTGAGCTGCCTGGGATCTGATTAAGCCTCCCCTTAGCTTCCCAGGAGGCTCCCAGGGCTGAGGTGGGCTGGCAGGGGTTGGTATGGCTGAGCTGAGCCACACAGGTTCCTCTGCTTCACCTCGGGAGACGCAGGGATACGAAAAGGGGCCCACAGGAGGAACACGAAGCTGGAAATCTTTGAATTCAATGATTTCATTGGAATCCATCAATTTTAATCATTTTTTGGAAGGGAGGAAATATTTAGTACTTTTCAATCACTATTTCACAAATAAAAATCCAAAAAATGACCATGCTTTTAACATTTTGAAAAATCTTTTCAGATAACTGCTTGATGGCTGCACTAAGCTGTGCCTCCCTCGTGGTGAGCAAAGGATGTTTGTGTCCACACTTATTTCCCAGCCCCTTGACCCTGCATTGCAACGTTTATTAACCAACGTCTTCTTGCCACGAGTCTCCTGGCTTTACCCAGTCCTTTCCTACTCCACCACAGCTACCCTCCAGATTGCAAGGAGAATTACTGGGACTTTATTCCTCCAAATAATTTCAACTTCTGTTTGATAACAAAGTTTGCTCATGCAACAGTCTTTATGTGCCCGAAGAATGCTAGGACAGAAAAGGCTCAAAGTACTGGATGCACAATATCATTTTATGATAGTTTTCATCACAAGAAAAACCTCCATCCTAAGAAAAATGGAAATGCAAACTCTCCTTAGTAACTTTTCTCACTTTAAAATTGCACTTCTCATCACGACCTATTACACCCACATAGTCATGTGCCATAGGCTCTGCAGACTGTCTCCAACATTTCAAAGGCTCAAAAGCTATTTTTAAAGCCAAAATACAATCTAGATTGCTGTTCTGTAAAGCACTTTTAAAGAACAAAGTAATAGAGTGATTTTTATGCCTGTGGGCAGTTAGCCAACTCACCAAAAGATTGAATGCAGCTGTCAATGAGATCGTCCAGGCTGGCTCCTTTGGCTAAATGTCCCAGAGACACCATCATTCGGAACTGGGTGATCTGGGCCAAGCTGGGATGGGAGGGGAAGGGGCTATTGGCTGGCTTTGCCTCTAGTCTTGCTTTAGGGGCAGCTCTGCAGCCATGGGAAGGTTTCCTGGGGAAAGAGAGAAGGCAGTGAGGGGACAAATTTACAGCTCCACACTCTGAAGGCAGATTGGAGTGGAAGGGAATGGAGATAAGACAATTAATCTCAGTTGGGCTGATAGAAGACATACCCCTCCCACTTGGCAAACGCACCAAACAGACTGGTTGGCTGTTAAAGAGACATCTCCCCAGCAAAGGTGAGATTTCAGGGTTCCAACTAGAACTTTTGATCCTGGCATTAGGATTGCTCGGTCCTACTGTCTCCCGGTTCCTGAAGGGGAATGGCAGAGGTAAGACTATTCCGATAGTCCTGAGCTCCCAGCAATATATACATTTTTCAGCTTCTAAGCCAGTGACTTGAATCTTAAGAACTGTTTACACGGGTCTCATCTTGGGCTAACTTCATTCATTTTGAGCAATACCTGAGATACTACACAAGGTCAGCCAGCCTCAGAATCACCGTTAAGAACGTTAGGAGAGAAGTCAGAGAATGAGGACCCATGTGAAGGAAGTGAGGGGTGATGGTTGTGGTGTTTACATTTTAAGTGAGTCCTGCCTTTCTTACAAATCTTGTTTGATTTTAAGATCTTGTTTTTCACGGCTGATAATACAGGTAACCATTATGAGTCATTTTTGTTACTAAACATCATTTTTTCAAATCCTTTCTTGGGTCCTTAATGATTAAAACAGAGAGCAGAGCTGTGAGAGTATTGTTCCAGAACTCAACGTAAAAAAGCAAGTTTGGATCTAATAATGGCTTAAGAGCCCAGTGAGATTTCATCTGCTCACATGCAGCTTTATCTCTGGTCACGACCTCATCTGGACAAATCATTTTGCAAAACGATTTGGGAAGTTTATTGTTCTCTCCATTAAAAAATATACACACACAGATCCATATCTATAATCTTTATGGTTTAATAGTGATGAGTATTGCTAGTAACTCTTTTGAGCATTTAGTTAATTCTCCTCTCTCTACTGTGGCTTTGGTTATTTCACAGTTTACTACCAAAGCAGTAAAGAGAAAAAGAAAAAATATATACCTCAGAACTGTAACTTTACTCACTATATATTATTATAAATTCATGTTATCAATTAACCTCTAAGTGCTTCTTCTATGAGTAAGGCATTGTGATTGGCCAGAGAGGACCACAGTGAGCTAGTTCAGATGAACATAATTTATATACTCATTACATATTAGTTGCTGTTGTTACATAAAGGTAGTCTAGAAGTTCCTTAATACAAAACTCTAGCTGAGAAATCAGACTGAGATAATAAAAAGACAGCCATATAAATGTTAAATAAATGTTCTATCAGTGTCAAGAGTAAGAAGCCTAGTGTTCCCAGAGAAGAAAGAGGCAGTTTGAGGGAGAATGTCTAGGAAAGCTGCTCTGACAAGATAGAATCTCCATCAAAGGGGCTAAGTGCTTAGATCAAAATAAAATCCTAGGCACACATGGGTTTTGGGAAACCAGCCAGCTAAGAGATGGTGTAGAACTTAACTATGGGGCCACTCAGTACACAGCTGGACCTGTGCAGGGGCACTCTGGCCCTTCAGGTTGTTTCAAACTAGCTCCAGAGCGCTGGTGTGCAGTGGCCACTGGCCTCTATTCTGCCCTGGTGCAGATCTAGTGAAATTGGTTATTGGACATCTACTAACCCTAGGCAGTAACTACTGAAAGACCAAGTCAACAGGACTCAACTGTCTGGCCATAATTGATTTTCTACTGGCCCTGGGATAGCCCCAGAATCTCATCAGTCTCTGAAAACAAAATAATAATGGTGACATGAATTGAGTGCCTATGCTATGGCACATAGGCTAACAGCTCAGAAGAATGTTATCCCCATCTCATGATGCTGAACTGAATCTTAAAAAGGGTAAGTAACATAGCCAAGGTGATAAAACTCACGTATCATCAATCTGAGATTTGTACCCAGCACCTCTCTGGCTTTATTCATTTAATAAATATATACTGTGCCTGGAACTCTGCACATTTCACAACATCATGGTTAGCTGGAGACCATCACAGAGAGGCTGAAAAGGCCAATTCAATTTAAAATGAAAGTAAAGTCCTTCAAAAGCATAGCTGATAATGTAAAGGCTGAATCTCAGCCCATATTCCTTTTGCAGGCCCTCAGAACTGTCCTCAGGTCCCCAGAGCTGGACAGATTCTTTATGGTCACTTTCCAAACCCCTACTCCATAGGTGTGGTGGTCCAGAATCAGAAGAGCAATGTGCCTGGTCACCACTGCAGAGACAGGCTAGAAGCCAGCCCCTTGTGGCCCATGCTGTGTTCCCCAGGTGAGCTCCCTTCCTTTCCTGGAAGCACTAACAACTCTCTAAACCTGGGGTTACATATCCACCGCTGGGATTAGTCAGCTTTCTGCCCCAGCTGCTGCCTTTGTCACCATTAAGACCTCCACCAAAGGCAGAGCAGGGGAAAGATTTTTTTTTTAATGTCATTCATTGTGGAAGTCTTTCTCTCAGACTTTTCACAGTACTTCTCCGTAGATCCTGGAGGCAACTGCAACTAGAGGCTATATCTACAGATAGAGCTCTTCCTGCTAGGGGTGGCGGGGAGGTGGCTACTGATCCAAGGAAAATTCCATTTCTTTCTTGGTTGGTGTCATTGACCATTCAAGACTCCTAATCCTGCCATTTTCTTATTCTGGTCATGTTTCCTAGTGTCACCAGTAAGAGAAATCGCTTTGTTTTATAATAGGGATTCTTGAAGATGGATGCTTTTACCAGAACTAGGAGGGATTAGGGTGGAATACAGGCTAGTAAAAGGGAAGAGAGGGTGACAAAAGCTATGTGGGAAGTATGGAGCCCAGAGAGACTCAGAGGGCTAGGGCATGAGAAACCAGGGAGAAGAGAAAGTATTAAAAGCCAAAGTGCGGCCTAAGCGTTCTAAGAAGATGCAGATTATTTGCATCATAGACTAGGAAACCTGGCTTTCTTGGTGTACAGTCTCTTGACTGGTTGCCTTGTAAAAAAAAAAAATCCTCAAATCGTTCTGCCTTTTCTGGTGAAACGGTAGTAGGCAAAGATTTATAAAATGCTTTCTTACAGGCAGGTTGAAGGGCATTTTAACAATCCATAGAACAAATTGCCTCTAGTCTGCTAAGGCATATAAAAACAAGTAGCCAAATGTTTTCTTGCAAATTAAAAAACAAAACCCCAATAGAAACAAATTAACTTGAAGGTGCTTTTCCGAGCCTAAAAGTGAAAAAAAGCCCCATAGGTTTGAAGGAGACTGTCAAAATTCTAAACTGGTTTAGGTGAAATCCTCTCCAGGCACAGGTATCTCAGTGGAGGTCAGTTGCAGGCTGTGCTTTTTATGAGATCCTGCCTAGAAAAGTAAGGCATGTAACTTCCCTGTAACTTCCCTGTAACTGTAACTTCCCTGACTTTCTTTGCAGTGGAAGGTGACTCTCTTGGCTTCTAGTGTGGACTCAGTCCTGTCCTCTCCCCCTTATAATATTCAATTTAATGTACTGAACTCCTCCCTCTAAATCTAGTTTCAAGTACAGTGGTGGGCCCTCAGGGGATACATGGACGGGGAGGGGCAGGGCGTGCATACAGGGCCCAGAACCCTTCGTTCTGGGGATGGTAAGCACGGAAAGTCCATCGCCAGCTTCCTGCCGCTACTGGGCATGGTGGTGCAAAGCGCAGTCCCATCAGTGTCGATGTGAATGGAGCTGTGAACTGCACACCTTGTCCAGCCCTATGCCGAGGCCAGGCCGTTGTCCAGGCAGGTGCCCAGTTCTGGTCCTGTCGCCACAAACTCAAAGCTGCCTGGCTAAGAGCCCTTTCACTCACTGCCCCTCTTTCTTCAACTTCTGTTATCCAGGACCCTCTGTGGAATCACAGTGAGGGGCAGAAGAGTGCAGCCTCCCATCCGGAAGGCGATATGTTTCGCCGACCCACAGATCTGGAAACTTCTGTAGGGCAGGGTCGACCAAGCGGTGCCACCTCCGCGGACTCCCAGCAAGCGCCGTTGGCCGTTCTGGGCAGGGCCGGGAGGGGCCGCCAGGTGGCGCAGCCGGAGCCCCGCGCCCCAGCAGGTGCGGGCGGCGCGGAAAGCCGCGAGTGGGAGTCCCGATGCCGGGCGGCGAGGTGTGGGGGAGGAGGTCGGCGGGCGGGCGCCGGCTCCGCGAAGAGCTTCGGCCCTAGCCAGTCTCGCCGGGCGAACTCTGGGCTCGTGGTTGCCCCTCCACCACCCCTCAGCCCCAGCTCCCTCCTCAAAACCCTGGGCGCAGCGCGCCGGGCGCTCCGGACACGTCCGCCCCTCGCGCTGCGGTCCCCGGACTCCGGCCGACCCCGGCCCCCCTCCGCCCTCAACTTCCCTCGGCTTGTGGGGCAGCGGGCAGGGGCCTCTCTCCCAAGAAAGGACACAGGCGCTCCCGAGGGCCGCGGCCGCCTCTACTCACCGCGGAGCCTCTCTCGCCTTGCCCAGGGTGCCCATGGCCGCGGCCCTCGCTCCCGGAGCCGGCTCACCTAGCGCAGCGGGACGGGCTCGGCGGGGCGCGGCGCATCGCCACCGCCGCCACCGCCGCCGCCTGCCGGCCCTCTCCCCCCGGGCCTCGCCGCTCCGGCAGCCCGCCGGCCCACGAGCCCGGCGAGCCCGACCGAGGCGCACCGCAGGCACAAACTTTGTGCGAGCGCGCCCCCTCTGCCTCTCGCGCGCGCGCTCACACCCGCCCGGCAACCACCTGACACGCTGATGCTGGCGGCTGCAGGAAACGTGCAGCGCCCCGCCGCGCTTCCCCGAAACCTGCCGCTTCCCCGAAACCTGCCCCTTCCCGCGGGCGCCCCGGCCCTGCGCCTCCCGCGGTGCTCTCACCCCGGCCCGCCGTCCACCTCTCTCGGCCAAAGGGTTAAGTCTCAGGGGAGTTCGGACGGGAGCGGGCTCCCGGCTACCCCACCCGCGCCTTGCAAGGCACCTGTGCCCGGCGACCTCCACCTGAGCCCGGGAAACGAGCTGCGCCTAGCGGCTCCCATGGGACCTCTTTTCTCGCAGCCAACCCGCGGCCTCCACCCCGTTGCCTGCAGCCGCTGCTCCACACATTGCAGTGCAGACGCCTTGTGGCCTCGCGGGCCTCTCCTGTATGTATCAGAGCGCGGAGTCCAGCCGGGAAAAGGGACGGAAAGACAGTTGTGAAGTTGCCTTAACCTGCGCATTGGGGTCTCTAGGTAGCCGTCCTCAGGACTGGGCTGTAGACGTGTGCCCTGCGCCCTGGACCAGGGCTGCCCGTGTGGAGGTGCGCTCCGCAGGCGTGATCCGTATTGGGGCCCAGACGCGGCCGCCTGGCGTCGGTGGATGTGGGAGACGTGGGGACAGCTTTCCTACAACGTCAGTGCGCGCAGAAGACCTGGCCAAGACGGGCGGCCCACCTGCTGCTTGTCCAAATGATAGTGCTGATAATTTCAGTAGCTAATGATTGAGTGCAGTTGTGCCTTTTAAGTGCTTTCTATACATTACCTCATTTAATCCACCCTCCCTGATACAAAGAGATCGCGGTTGTAAAGATGAGAAAATGAAGGTTTGGAGAATAATATGCCTCAGATCATACAACTAATAAACAGTAGACAGAGCTCTGACTTGGACTGAGGTCTGTCTAACTCCTTGTAATCACTGCTGCACCGCCCTAATAACATACTCATTATCACGGCCACAGACCATCACTCTAGCCACAGTCATAGCTGTCTTCCCTGCCACAATGTTCTGGACCTGAAAGCCTTCCTCTATTTCATTTATATATTTCCTTATATTTATATGCTACCTTGTCCTTAAAACAGAATTCAAGATAGCTTACAAGAGCATATAACCTACAAAAAGAAGTGTGTGAAATGAAAAATAAGGCACAGAAGATGGAGCCAAAAATGAATATCATTCAAAATAAATGCATCTCCTGGAGTCCAATACCCTTGCCACAAGTGGTACCAAAATTTGTCTCCTGCGTTTCTAGCAGTCAAGTTTAAAGAGAGGCCTTGTCTAAAATTCAATTCCTATCACATGCAAGACCAAAAACAAAACTGCTCAAAACATCTCCCTTTCTTGATACTGAGAGCAGCAAGAAATTTCTCCAGAGAATCCTCATGAACACTGGGTGTTAAAGAACCAAGTCCTCAGTCAGCTGCAGCTGCAGAAGAGGTAGGTGAATGTCAGGAGAATATTAAATGACACCTTCCCTCACTCACTGAATCTAAGGCTCAGACATTTTCAGTTATCTATTAAACACTCAGTCCTCATGTAAGCCCTACAACCTAAACAATCAAGTTGGTGGATGTCTGAAAATGGTAAAGATTCGTATCTATCTATGAATCTGTCTGTCTCCCGGCCGTCCTACATTTGTAGTCTTTGACTTTGCTCACGGAGACCTTCCCTTATTACCAGGTGAACAACTTACTTTTCACTGACTCCTGTACTCCAGAATGAGCTCTTTAGTACTCTCTTCTGCAGTACCTACATCTATAATATTTTCACTTTCGATTGCCACATAATACTCTGTGTCCCTGTCTTACCTCCACAGCTAAACTGTAAATTGTCTGAGGTCAAGAATCAGGTCTTATGCTTGTTTGGCTTTCACAGCTGCCAACATGTGGCAGCAAATGTGGGACATTACCAATAAACGGCTGTGGATTTGATTTTGAAAAGCAGAATGTGGTAACCTCAAAGAATAAAATAAGATCCTTCCTGATTATTTCTGGAGAAAGGGTTTAAGATTTTCTTTGAAGTCCCCTGTCTAAGGCAGGAGGAATAAGCTTACTGGTGCTGTCCCCGGTGGCTTTCATGGGACCCCATCACAGGTTGTTCGAGGCCTTCAGCATTGCTCTATTGCTTCCCCTTTGAAAATAGAGCCCTTTCCATGCCATTCATTGCATTGAGCCTTTAGACAGCAAAGCAAAATCTTTGTATATGGCAGAATAATCCAGACTTATGGATTATTCTATGCATATGCATAGGTATGTATGCCAAATGGATACCTTTATATAAATGCATCATTGTATTTATATGTAAATACACATATATACATCATAATGCACATGTAGGCAGTTGCACACATCTGCACACCTACAGTCTGTACATACAAGTAGTCGAAATTGAGGTTATTAATTCATTCAAGAAATGAATCTTGCTAAGTTTTCTAAAGAAAGAGGCTTCCATATACCCAGCAAGTGTTTTTCTCTTGACTTTCTGAGAACTCTGTACTTCACTTCCATCTGATTCTGCTTCTGGGCCCCCTAGAGCTCTTTTTTGAGGTTTTCTGGCTACTCCTACTTGAGTAATAAGTCTTTTCCAAACATCTAAAAAATGAGAAGTTTGTCTATGTCTCTTTTCATTATTGGCCATGTGCTTAGTCTCCCTGTATTATATGAGGCACCTTTGACCTCAAGAACACACTTCTTCTTTTTCTTTAAGGCAGAGTTTTGCTCTTGTTGCTCAGGCTAGAGTACAATGGTGCGATCTTGGCTCATAGCAACCTCCGCCTCCCAGGTTCAAGTGATTCTCCTGCCTCAGCCTCTGGAATAGCTGGGATTACAGGCACCCTCCACCACACCCGGCTAATTTTTTGTATTTTTAGTAGAGACGGGGTTTTGCCATATTAGCCTGGCTGGTAAACTCCTGACCTCAGGTGATGTGCCCACCTTGGCCTCCTAAAGGGATTACAGGTGTGAACCACTGTGCCCAGGCTTTTTTTTTTCCACAAAATACATCATTTAATACAACAATCTTGTAAGGTAGCTAATGAGAATAATATTCATGTTTTTTTAACATTATACGTTAAGTTCTGGGATACACGTGCAGAACAAATAGGTTTGATACATAGGTATACATGTGATGTGATGGTTTGCTGCACCCATCAATCCATCATCTACATTAGGTATTTCTCCCAATGCTATCCCTCCCCTAGCCCCCCACACCCCAACAGGCCCCAGTGTATGATGTTCCCTTTCCTGTGTCCATGTGTTCTCATTTTTCAACTCCCACTTGTGAGTGAGAACATGCAGTGTTTGGTTTTCTCTGATCCTGTGTTAATTTGCTGAGAATGATGGTTTCCAGCTTTATTCATGTCCCTGCAAAACACATGAACTCATCTTTTTTATGGTTGTATAGTATTCCATGGTGTATATGTGCCACATTTTCTTTATCTAGTCTATCATTGATGGGCAGGTTCGTTCCAAGTCTTTGCTATTGTGAACAGTGCTGCAGTAAACATGAGTGCGTGTATCTTTATAGTAGAATAAATTATAATCCTTGGGGTATATACCCAGTAATGGGATTACTGGGTCAAATGGTTTTTCTGGTTCTAGATCCTTGAGGAATCGCCACCCTGTCTTCCACAATGGTTGAACTAACTTACATTCCCACCAACAGTGTAAAAGTGTTCCTATTTCTCCACATCCTCTCCAGCATCTGTTGTTTCCTGACCTTTTAATGATCACCATTCTAACTGGAGTGATATGGCATCTCATTGTGGTTTTGACTTGCATTTCTCTAATGACCAGTGATGATGAGCTTTTTTACATGTTTGTTGGCCACATAAATGTCTTCTTTTGAGAAGTTTCTGTTCATATCCTTCACCGACTTTTTGATAGGCTTGTTTGTTTTTTCTTGTAAATTTGTTTAAATTCTTTGTAGATGCTGGATATCAGCCATAGGCCCGATGGGTCGATTGCAAAAATTTTCTCCTATTCTGTAGGCTGCCTATTCACTCTGATGATAGTTTCTATTGCTGTGCAGAAGCTCAAGTTTAATTAGATCCCATTTGTCAATTTTGGTTTTTGTGGCCATTGCTTTTGGTGTTTCAGTCATGAAGTCTTTGCCCATGCCTAAATGGTGTTGCCTAGGTTTTCTTCTAGGGTTTTTATGTTTTAGGTCTTGTGTTTAAGTTTTGAATACGTCTTGAGTTAATTTTTGTATAAGATGTAAGGAAGGGGTCCAATTTCAGTTTTTTGCATATGGCTAGATGGTTTTCCCATCCCCATTTATTAGGAAATCCTTTCTCTGTTGCTTGTTTTTGTCAGGTTTGTCAAAGATCAGATGGTTGTAGATGTATAGCATTATTTCTGAGGCCTCTGTTCTGTTCCCTTGGCCTATATATCTGTTTTGGTACCAGTACCATGCTGTTTTTGTTACTGTAGCCTTGTCATATAGTTTGAAGTCAGGTAGCATGATCCCTCCAGCTTTGTTCTTTTTGCTTAGGATTGTCTTGGCTATCCGGACTCTTTTTTTGGTTCCATGTGAGATTTAAAGTACTTTTTTCTAATTCTATGAATAAAGTCAATGGTAGCTTGATGGGGATTGCATTGAATCTACATATTACTTTGGGCAGTATGGACATTTTCATGATTTTGATTTTTTCTATCTGTGAGCCTAAAATGTTTTCCATTTGTTTGTGTCCTCCCTTATTTCCTTGAGCAGTGGTTTGTAGTTCTCCTTGAAGAAGTTCTTCACATCCCTTGTAAGTTGTATTCCTAGATATTTTACTGTATTTGTAGCAAGTTATGAATGGGAGTTTACTCATGATTTGGCTCTCTATTATTGGTGTGTAGGAATGACTGTGATTTTTGCACATTGATTTTGTATCCTGAGACTTTGGTGAAGTTGCTTAACAGCTTAAGAAGATTTTGGGCTGAGATGATGGGGTCTTATA